TGGCTATCAGATGTTGTATCAACTGCTACCGTAGATATAACTAACTATAATTTCTTTAGATGCGATCGTCAAAGTAGAGGAGGAGGAGTCGGAATTTATGCGAGTAAGGAATTTCAGTGCAATCAAATTTTTTCAGATAGCAACAAAGACCTTGAGCAACTTTGGTTAACAGTGAAATTATCTAAACGATTATTTGCTGTGGGAATAGTATATCGACCACCAAAATCCAGTATTCTGAATTCTATAGATTTGATTGAAAATTCAATTAGTAATATTTATCCTACAGTTGATCACATCATTTGTATGGGAGACTTTAATTTGAATTTATTAAACATTACAGATCCAATTGTGGAGAGATTATGTTCTGTAATGGAAATATTTGGGATTTCACAAGTTATCAGTGAGCCTTCGAGAATAACTAGAACTTGTTGTACTCTCATTGATCAGATATTTGCTAGTTGCACAGATTTTATTTCGAATTCAGGCACTATGAGCGCTGATACCATATCCGATCACAGATTGTTGTACTGTTCGATTGATATTGAATCATCTCAAAAAGCCCCAAAATTGTTGACATTCAGGAACTTCAGTTACTTCATTGCTGAAGATTTCAATTATGATCTGAATAATATAAACTGGAACGAATTATATAATTTAGAAACGATTGATAAAAAAATCGAATTTTTTACTACAACCATTCTTCAACTTCTCAATCAACATGCTCCTTGGAAGACGGTCAAAATAAGTAAACCCAAGGCACCTTGGCTTACTGATGTGATAAAATTGATGATGAAATTAAGGGATCAAGCATTAAGCAAATATAAATTAACCAGGAATCCGGAGGATTTCGATACCTATAAAAATCTCCGTAATTATACACTAGGCGCGATACGTAGAGAAAAAAAAGACTATTTAGAATTACAATTCAAAAGTAATAATAGTGCAAGAGAACGGTGGAAGATTCTGCGAAATTTGAATGTTACTCCTAATAAATCCAACGAAATTCCCTCGCACCTGGCGGATGCTAATGGAATTAATCATTACTTTCTCGCCATGACAGCAAATATGAACAATGATTGCTCAGAAAGGATAGATTTTTATACGAACAACCGATATAGAGATGAAAACACTTTTGGTTTTGAATATATTACTCCAAACGAAGTTGTTGACATTATAAATTCTCTAAAATCGAATGCAGTTGGGTGTGATGGGATCTCGAGAATCATGATGATGCATTGTCTTTCAGTACTACGTTTACCAATCACTCATATTATCAACCTGTGCTTAGAAGAAGGATATTTTCCAAAGAAGAGGAAAGAAGCCGTTATTCGTCCATTGCCTAAAAAAAGCTTTCCTGAAAATGTGGAGGACCTTAGGCCTGTTAGTATCCTTCCATTTCTCTCGAAGATCTTGGAAAAGGTTGTGTACAAACAACTTTATAGTTTTTGTGTTAGTACGAATATATTGCCAGAACGTCAATCAGGCTTCAGAGCTGGGTATAGCACGGCAACTGCCCTAACCTCAATATGTGATGATATTATTGAGGCTTACGATGATAAAAAACTGACTGCACTTGTTATGCTAGATTTCTCTAAAGCATTCTATACGATTGATCACAAACTGTTATACGCGAAATGAAAATACTATGGTTGCAGGCAAGGTGTCCTTTCCTTTTTTGAAAATTTTTTGACTAATCGTTCCCAACATGTGATTATCAATGGACAAATTTCTTCACCGTTGCGAATTCACAAAGGTGTCCCGCAAGGATCTATACTGGGCCCATTGCTATTTTTGATTTACACTGCCCAGCTTTATGATGAACTCAAATATTGCAAGGGTCATTATTACGCAGATGACAGTCAAATATACTACGATTTTTCACTGAATGATGTGGATAATGTGAGCCGTCTGATGAATAGTGATCTAGAAAATATCGTATCACGTTCCTTCGATCACAATTTGCATATAAATCCCAAGAAATCTTTGCTCATGATATTTGGCAATAAAACGCCGTCGTCTGAAGCAGAAAAGAGATTGACCATTAAAGTTGGTAACGTCACTCTAGCGTCCACAAAGGTTGCAAAAAATCTTGGTCTGTACATGGATCCAGGTATGAAATTTTCGGATCATATCAGCAAATGTTTGCAGAAATCTTATAGCGCTTTGAAACTATTATATTCCAATCGATATAACTTGCATAATAGTTTGAAGAAAATGCTCTGCGATCAATTAATATTATCTCAGTTCAACTATTGTGACGTGGTATACGGTAACCATATTAATAATTTCGACGCTTGCAGGATTCAGAAAGTTCAAAACAACTGTTGTAGATATATACTAAACTTACGAAAATATGATCACGTGTCTGAGAATATTGCAAAATTAGGCTGGCTGAAAATGAAATCTTGTCGTTATTTACATTTCGCTGCGTTCTGTCATAAAATCATTTTAACGAAGACACCATCTTATCTTTATGAGAAATTGAGATTTCGCGGTCAACTCCATAATGTTAATATTCGTGCCCAGTATTATATTCATATTCCAGCACACCATACAAAGAAATTCGAATCTTCCTTTGCCTACGAAGCTCCTCATATTTATAATAATTTAGATGACCATCTGAAGAGAATGTCAGTGAATTCATTTAAGGCAAATTTAAAAAAAATCCTTCTAGCCAAACAATTGACCGTCAACTCATTGTAAAAATTTGAAAAGCTCAATGGATCTATATCCCTCCTCTAGCCAAAAAGATCATCCTGAACTCTTAATAGAAAGCCATATCTCATAATATATCTATCTCTCACATTCGTCAAGAATTTTTCTTCTTCTGATTTTTTTTTTTGTTTTCAATACAGAGTATAGTTCTGATTACGTTGAATGCTACAATGATATCTATGTTCATTTCTATAATTGTTAGGTTAAAGTGTAAGAATAGTTTTATACTAAACTTTCGCCTAATAAAGACCTATTATTATTATTATTATTATTATTAACAGCGAGCTGTTGCTCTAGCGCTTTCAAAGAACGCTCGCCCCGTTTTCGATTCAGGGATAGGAGGAATAAGATAATATCTGATCAGATAGAGAATATATAATCACAATATAATTATAAATAATAATTATCGTTTATAATTCATATTCATATCCTACTTGTATGATCAAGCGATTACTTGTACTTTATTTGGATTCGAAATCAATATTTGACTTGTCGTATTGTAGACCCTTGCTCTCGCCAACAGAGTCTATTCTTGAGTCAATTTGAAAATATTATCATCTCCAAGTATTCAGATTGAAAAAGAAACAGATGATCGGTTTAACATATTTTACTGTCAATGGACATCTGCAGACCATCAAACCATTTGAATAATCGAGAATAATCCACCATTGATCATATGGCTTTGATTGTGCTAGAACTTTCCTGGGCGTATGTCTTCGTATCGTTAAATCGTTGATACAAACCATGATCCAAACAGATGCTGCCTCATCTCCGAATAACAGGGTGATAATAATGAAGCATCAAAATTATTGTGTATTTTTTTTTCGAAATGGTTACGCTTGAGCCACAGGTCGCTGTTGATAACTGTCTTTCCCATTGGGGTAACTACAGAGTGATCTGAGAAGATGATAGTTCACCCCAGAAATGCCGAGAAGAAAATATGAAATTCGGTTACACAGTGATTCTAGAATATTCTTCAGGATTTTTGATTCGGATATGGAAGGAAAAAACAGACACACAGTATGTCAAACACTGTTAATTTGAAGAAACAAAAAATAAGCAGAATATCATTGAATGATGAATTCTTTTGATTTCGACATGAAATTCGACACTTTTTGGACCTGATGAAAGTTTTGGTTACCAGTTGTGTGAAGTGTATTATAACATCACTGGTGATGAACTGTTTATTTCAACACCAATCACTGATTCCAAATATGGATGCACGGAAATAATAGTATATTTTGTGGGCTTCGTCGATATCACTTCGGGAATATGGACTTGAATCAGCAATTTTTCACTGATGAAGATATGAAACGAGTCTTCCTCGTGACTTTTGTTGCTGATTCTTGTTAATATCATTGTTCGACGAATACTCCAAAATGACGGGAGAAGCCAACTTGCCTTATTAATTTTGTAGACCATCAGTGGAACTCACGTAAAACTGGTAATTCTAGGTGTTCAGGCGGAATTTTTCATCAAATTCGGAAAAAAATTTTCATGTTAGGAAACGTGTAATTCTGTGTTTTGCAGGATCTCACTTCGCCCGTCCTGCAAAATTCCATCGTCGCACAAAATTGCGCATTTTCTAACTGGTACCGTGAAAATCCACTGCCTCCCAGTATCAATGATATAATATCCATGTACATTTGTTTCATAGGATGGAGACGTTGCCGAACCATCATCTTCCACTAGAAAGAAGTTGTAGCCACTGGTTTTCGGACTGTAATGTTGTATGTGTCTTCCTGAATGGAATAATATACTATTCAATCAATCTGAATTAATGCAGGTTATACCTTTTCCATTTGAAAATCTTACACCACTACTGCGCTGTCTGTCAGCACTTCAGCCACTAACAGACTGTCTGCCAACAGTTCCTTGTTTATTGATGATGAAAAGATGCCATTTTCAAAATTATAACTAATGTATCTTATAAAGATTTGAATATCGAAATTTGACCTATTTGGAGGTCCACCCCTGTATCAGGCCTCGTGGCAACGCTGGCAGACAACACGATTCGAACTTTGCTCTACGCAGGAATCTTTTCGAAATGGGAGTCAGCCATGTATCGATGGGGAACTATCTAATGTAGGCAGGTTTACCCTATACACACATTGAACAACTTCTTTATGCACACAACTGTACAAGTTTTCGAGTATCTCTTTCATTATTTATCGATACGAATACCACAATTGTTTATGCAATCAGTCGCACCATGATCAGATAGAGATAAATTTATTGAAACAAATTGAAATCGATATAGCATTGATGTAAGTGGTTCATGCAACATGTATTTCATCCATGTTTTTCTCACATGTCTAGCTTTCGCAGTAAGTACAACCAAATAACTATTTACCATAGTCAACTCATGAGATGAGAAGGAAATTACGATCATTTCATCAGGAAGATATCTTGAACAGAATACTCATTATGGAAGATAATGAATTCAATCTTTCACTACACAGAGTGTTTCAAAAACGGTTGCCTTGTTGCTAAGGTAGGTAGAACACAGCAAAATAAGTTGAGATTGCTGGATACAAAAATGTTGTTACAAAGTTTCGCGGTCATGGTATAGACACATTCTCGTGCAATATTCATAATTGTTGATTTCAATAATTGAAATGAAAATTCGAATCAATACAAGATATTTTGATAGCTCCTGACAAAAATACGATCTGACCATATGATCTGACACTGAATAACCTTGCTATTATTGTAGTTAACGAATGTGAAATTCAGAATAGTTAAGCTTTGGTTTGTCAGTCGCAGCTATTGCTTACGGCTGCGAAGATGTACTGCGCGTACTGTGTAGAGAACACGAAACACTCTCTGCGGATATGATTGCACAAAAAACAGATATCTTTGCACATTTCTTACGATTATGTCGAAATTACTACCAACATGACGATAAAATGTTGTCTGGTTATGTTTTGTTAACTGCAACATCGCATGGATTCGTTTTCATAATTGACTCCCATGTAGAATAGAGTTTGTGTTCAAAATTTCTTCGATTAAAACAAATACAAAATCTTCTTCTTCTTCCGAAGAATGCACTATTTGCATGAATTTTCAGAAAGTTTCAGGATCAGCTGTGAGGTTATTCGTAATGTTCAGTTTTGCCATGCAACTCTTGACGTGTATTTATCTCTGTAGCATAGACTTTCTTCTCAAGAAACGATCAAACTTCTTGATTTATGTTATTTATCAAACTTATAGGTATGCCATTTACTTGATTCATTGTTTGAACAATGATTTCAGCATTGGGAATATGTTGTTCCATATTCTTGATGAATATATTAGTGATAGTTTCTTATAATTATTATTGAACATCCTTCATTTCACCATATGAAGTTTGAACACAGTATCAAATATTACTAGGTGCACATTTCGAATTCGGAATTGCATGATATTCAAGTTCACATCGAATTTCGACCATGAAATTCACCTTTCGGAAAGTTTTGATCGAAACTAATTGATACAAACCGTGTAACTAGCGCTCTCTGTGAGTATCAGATATGAGAACGAATGAATTCATATGACGTGCTGAATACACAAAATATATCCATACAGAATTGCATCACAATGTTGCCAATAGTTTCGACATAATCATTGAAAATGTCTTAAAATTGTTTTTCCAACACCACATATCTCAGAATCGGATGCGAATATGATTGTTTCTTCTGAACGAATCCAACTCAGTCATAGTGTTCTATCAACTGGAGCAGGAAAGTCACCTCATTTGAAAGATCCTGTATATAATGATTCGTCTGGAAAATGTTAATGGTGTAGGGCAACACACTTCTCCAGCGATTCTTATCCATTTATTGCAAAACATTGATACCACTTCGAGATAATTCCTATGTTTTCTTTTTATATTCGATTCGAAACAGCTAGCTGATGATCAACCCACTATCGTATTACCAAATGGAAAGATTGCAGGTTCGCTCAGTAGAACCATCAGGTACCAGGTACCATTTTATTCCTACTTGGGTATACCTTATGCTGCACCGCCTGTAGGCAATTTGCGATTTCAGGTAATTATCCTTCTCATGTTATTGTATACTCTCAATATTCGATGAATTATCATAAGCGACGAGTATTTCACTTGATCCAATCATTATTAGTATTTTTCCGATCATTCACATCAACAATTGGTTGATTTATTCAAAATAAATAAACATGGCAGGGCGTGTTCCTTCGATAGGAAGATGTAGAAATGCAGCAGATTTCTTTGTTCAGAATGAACGGAATTCTCTCATATCCTAAGTTGTTTTTTTTTCAACTAAAGTGACCAAGAAGTTTGTTGACGATATTATATTCCTTGAAATATTCTATGAGAACAGTGGTACACACTTTCCACTGTTGAAAATTCTCAATATTTCATTCTGTTTTCATATCTCTCTTGTTTTGAAAACTAGACGGTGTTACTCATGCTTCACTCTGAGGAAGTCAGTTTGCTTCTACTTGATATGATTGAGAAATTGCAAATCTGGAATGGAGAATCAATTTGTATTCGAACAATGATCACACTGTCAATTTTAGTATGAATTTATTTTGTTCTAAAATTGTTTTATTCATTATTCGGTTGCCCGCTTACGAGCAGCCCTCATAAGTCTGCGACAGACTTGTGCGAGCAAAGAATGACTGGGGCCTTTTCTTTCAACGTGTGATCTCAAACACATTCTTGAGCTATCAGAAAAATGTCTGCCGTCGCGATGAATTGAACTGACGCCCGGCAAGCGAACGCGGATTAAAATACTGACACTCTGTCCGCACGGCTACCTGAAAACATCACTAAATATATTGCAGAAAACATTGTTACCTCATAATCAAAAAAACATTGTTACCTGATTATCAAAATAGCAGGGTGGCAACTGGTTCACGTTGATTTTAATCACAAAATGAGGAAACGGACGTTCTGACATCTGAAAAACATTTTATTGAGGACAAAATGTGATAGTCACAACATGTCATATTTCACGTTACAATGATTGTAGATTTGTGAATTGGATAGGATACACTTCGCCCCTGAATAATTTCTTCTCGAAGCGAATCGAATCAAGTCAAGTTTCAATAAAAAGGTATTCGTTCTACTAAAGCACAGCACATTACTACTGTTCGTGGAATACACGCAAATACAAAAGACTTATAGTTTTGATCACAATTCTACAAATACCAGAGACAATTAGAATCAACAGTTTTTCATTCGAAATTGTGAAACCCTTGAGTAACTCTAAAATATCACTCAATGCTTGAATATTGCAGATCGAAACGTAAGAATGTATTTTGCCAACACTTTTGTGCAGGCGATTCGAATTGAGAAGTACAGACCAATCACAACGATGATACTTCATTGTTTAATAAATAATCTGAAATACCATAATCCAGTTGACATCATATTTTCATGATGAAAATAGTTGATAAACAGAGCGGCGACTGAAATCAATACCTGAATAATCGATCGTGGTATTCCTTATTGATCGCAGTATTTTCCATTGATCGCAGTGATTTTGATTGATCACAGTATGCTGCATGAGGGGTTCATTTTTTTTTCATCGCTTGGTGCTCACGAAACAAAAACGTTCCAATGCTTGAAGAACATCGTGCGTACCTAGGGGTGATAAAAAGAGGGGGTATGAGTTGGACTTCTCATTGAACTCTTGAAGATTTCAACTTCTTGAAAATACTTTCCCAGGCAATGAATCACAGAGCTTCGTCGTTCTATGGAAAAACAAATGTTGAAGGAGTGCTGTTCGACTTATTTCGAGGATGTCAATGAAGAGATGTACTAACTGCACATCTCAAGTTCGTCTACTAGTATTGCTTGAAGTGTGATGATACCATAGATTTCTGAAGAGCATCTCCTATGAAAGTATCTATCGAAAAGTGGAAGGTCGCCAACTTCTCTACGTTGTTCTAGTGATGGCAGAGTGTGAGTGAGTGTGAGATCACCCACCAAGCACATATGGCTCTACTATGAATGCAATCTAAGAGCATCAGAGTGTGTTTGGTTGCTGTATGTCATATGTATGAACATTATTCTCACGATGTTCTCTGAACATTACTGGATATCCCTTTTCTCAAGAATTAGAACATGAAAAGCAATCTGTGCTTTGTTGATTGCTGTTGGGATGTAAGGTAGCTTGGAAAGAAGGAAAAACTCGAGTTTTTATGAAGCTGCTTCCGCGATGAATGTTACAACCCAGGTAGAACATCATATTGGCTAGAACTTGGTTTCATATTAGCCAAATATTCGAATATTGAATATGGAATTACTAGATTGCACCAATATCAAACCAATTTTTCATTTCAATATTCGATCATCAATCCATTGCCAATATTTTAATAACATTGAAATTTTGTGACCAGCCGATATCAATTTGTCAATATTTATTTGATATTGGAGGAATATTAACGATCATAATATGTCAATTTTCATGATGGGCTGATATTGCATTTCCAATATCAAATCGATCTTGGAAAAAAATATTGACTCAATATCCAATTTATGATGGTTAGTGAATATTGCATTTCATTGTCCAGCAATGTTGTAATAACATTGAAATTTTGTTTCCAGCCGATATTTATTTACCAATATCTATTCGATATTGGTGAAATATTGACGATCACAATGTCAATTTCCATGATTGGGCTAATATTGTATTTCCAATATTGAATCAATCATGGAAAAAAATATTGCATCAATATCAGATTTATGATGGTTGGTGAATATTGCTCTTCGTTGTCCAGCAATATTGCACTGATATTGGTGATTCAATATCATTTCGATATTCAATAATCAATCCAGTGCCAATGTTGTAATAACATTGAAATTTTGGGACCAGCCGATATCAGTTTGCCAATATTTATTTGATATTGGCGAAATATTAACGAATACAATATGTCAATTTTCATGATGGGCTGATACTGTATTCCCAATATCGAATCAATCTTGGAAAACATATTGTATCAATATTTTGTATTTTTATTCAGCCACTATTAGTTCATCAATATGCGACCCATTTCAGATAGATGTAACTAATGAAATATGCCAGAACCAATATTGCACTGACATTGGATTTCTAATATCGAATCGATATTCGTGATATTTCTCTTAGTATTTGAGCTACGTTATAACAGCTGGCGCCACTAGCACGCCTCCAACAAACGACTGCTGAGAGACATCAAATACCGCATTCGTTTAACTTGCAAACTGAGTATTCTGGGATACAGGAAACGAAAATGGATTTGATATTGTACAAATATCGCAATTTTCTAATGAGGCTAATATGGCTTCGAATTTTGATTTCGAGTTTTGTTGAAAAACGAAATTCAATATTGGTTGAATATTATAATTCAACATGAAGATAATATTGCAAAATAATCACATCCTCATCTTAGCCAATATAGTAGGGGAATATGAATTCAATATCGATTTCACATATGAAAATTATAAGAAACCAGTTTTCTATAAGTTGGCATCATATATTTGTCCAATCTTGTATACGAATATAAACTCGATATTGGATAGAGCATATCGAAACAAGATTGAAATTCAACATAGCACCAAGATTCCAGAATGTTCACATTGATTTATTGACCCAATAATTAAAATTAATATTTTCCCAACATTAACCATTTATTGACTCAATATTGAACCAATATTAGTGTTCTACCTGGGAATATCATCTCATGAGAGAGTAATGCTGATGAAGACACCGGTTGAATCTCCGAGTGTACTAACCTTGCTCAGTTGTTGGACTTTCGTGGATTTCGCACTTGTCAAAAGATTCTTTGTGATCATATTTGTTCAATTGGAAAGCGCGTTCATCACTCGGTGAATAATCAAATAATTGTAATTGTCAATATTGCCTGCTTCGACCAGTGGACGTACGAGTGAGAAAATAATTATTTCCTGCTCGAAAACACATGACCGTGCATAATATTGTCTCGGAATTATTTCATCGAAGTTGTGTGTTATTGAATCTGAAGATTTCGTGGAGTGCTTTCAAGAAATAATCGTTGGTTTTAAGCCCCTGAATTTTTAAATAGTAGCAGGCCCAGGCTGGCTACTATCTTGCTACCAAGCATTTTCATCGATCGGCCCCCAATTTCGAAGTTCGTTTTCTGGGGTATGAATAAACGTCATTCCATTAGGATGATCAAAGATTGAGAGTCGTTTATCTATGTGATAACACAAAGTGTGACCGGTCAAGTGGGGCTAAAGTTGCGCATCCAGAGCAGCCTTCAGAAATTCCCAACATAATTTAGTTTTTTTCATGTATATAGAAAAGAGTTGAATTTTGATTTTTATTGTTATCAGAGTAATGAAAAATCTGAAATCTCTTCGGCCCTGATTATGTGTTCACAGATTTTCAATGCTCTCGTAACTCTAGTAACTTAGTATTATACAGAGTGGTTTGATTGTGTTTCGACCCAGTTTCCTCGCTGTTTTTTTCTGGAATTCCGAAGAGAAGGTATGATCCACGTCATTCATTATGCAAGAAATACTATCAGAATAGCTGTATAAAATCTTATTACCTATGACGAGTTCCTTCTTATAAATGAATACAAATACAATTATTTTCCAGATGTCTTGAATTTTTTAATTTCAATATTGAAAAATGCGTTTTATCGAATAAATCGATACAAAATGGAACGATACTATGCAATGTAGGTGGTAGAATGATGAGGTATGTGTTACTTGAGAGTAGTCGTTGAAAATCGATCAGAATCAAGTAAAACTGATGATATTTCCTTTCGGATTTTCAAAACGACATTGATCATGGCTGAAATTGAGGCAGATCGTATTCATGTATGATACATGATTGTATCACTTGTATCCAGACTGAAAAAAGCTCACAGAATCTGTGAACGCACAATCAGGACAAGTCAGGACCGTAGTAAAAAAATGTATTCTACGAAAAAATTGGTAGGGAAAAATATATCAGTCTGTATCTTCAATACACAGATAACACCGATCTTCTTGAGGAATGACAGCCAATTATTGTACCTACTACTACATTCCTATCTA